AAGGCAGGCATGGTCCCTAACTGCAGGAAGCTTATAGTCTAGTGATGAAGAGATGCACTAGACAGGTATAGTCAGCCACTGATATTCATGGGTCCCCTATTCGTGCATTCCACTGACGCGAACCCAAAATGTTCTGAAAAGAAAAACATGGATGGGTGTATCTGTACTGAAGATGTACAGAGTTTTTCTTACCATTATTCCCTAAACAATACAGTATAACAACTATTTATATTTTATGAAGTTATTATTATATAAGTCATCTAGAGAAGGATGTGGTAGGTTATATGCAAATACTACACCATTTTAAGTAAGGAACTTGCGCGTCTGTGGATTTTGTTACCTAGGTGGGTCTAGATGTCACATGGTTACCGCCCAAAACCAAGAGTCAGCTGGACAGTAATAATTAACAAGATGTTTTAAGATCATCCTAGACTGAGTTTCCTGGGAAGCAGATTATGAGGAGAGTTGGAGGCAGGATATTAGAAAGGACTTCTTGGATCATTGCCAAAAAAGAAGGGTCGCAGAATTGGACAGATAACGTTGGGCTGCACTGCAGACACAAGACGGGCCTTTCCCAGCCCCACAGGAGCGCTGAGGCTGGGTTGGCCCTTCAAAGATGTCCCAAGTTGGAGGGAAGGGCCAGGCTTTTATAATTCCACATTGATCAATCCCAAGTTAGAGGGAAGGGCCAGGCCTTTATACTCCCACATTGATCAGTCATTGGTTGCCCATTGCCCTGTCACCAAATCCCTTCAACCAAGTCAATCATGAAAGGGGACCGGCAGCTGAGGGCTGTTGCAGCACTCCCAGGAGCTGGGGGAATAAGTCTTTCATTCCTCATGGGGGTCAGGGTGGCACATCACAGCATTCACCACAAAGGTAGAGTTTGAAAGAAATAGGAGATGTGCTAGGGAATAATGGGGAAGGGAGAGGGACGAAACTTTAGATTGAGTGCTCAGAGAAAGGCTGTCTGTGTGGGTGACATTTGAGCTAAGCTGAAGCACAAGAATAAGCCACCCTGTGTGGAACAAAGGGAGCAAGATCCTAGTGAGCACGGGAAATATAACACACAAAACAAGTGGCAGCTACCTCCTGTTAGTGGGTGGCGGTTACTAGTTTTTATAGATCTTAACTCCTTACTGTAACTAAAGATGGAGTAAGTAAAAATGGACTGGGACTAATTGAGATGAGTAGATAGAGGAGAAAATGGGAAGTATGATTTTGAAAAATGAGTCAACTTAGTAAAGACTTTTAAACTATACAGCTTGGTTTTATTTTTTGCTTTCTGCATCTGAACAGCATTGAATCATGTTTTAAGATTTTCTTTTTCTTTTCAAACTGTATTCTCTTTGAGGGCAAGAATTATGCCCTATTCATCTTCGTGGTTCCCCCTGAGCCTAATAGTCTTAATAGTACCTAATAGACCAAAATGGACATTTGAATAAAATTAATCTTGTATTTTCGGGTTTGTTTATTTTTCTTTTTTTGTTTGTTTTTCTTTTTGAGACAGAACCTCATGCCATGGCATCATCATAGCTCACAGCTACCTCAAATTCTTGGTCTCAAGGGATCCTCATGCCTTAGCCTCCCTCAGTAACTGGGACTACAGGCACCTCCCACAACTCACAGTTAATTTTTTTTTTTAATTTTTCTATTTAGTAGAGATGAGGTCTCACTGTTGCTCAGGATGGTCTTGAATTCCTGATCTCAAGCAGTCCACCTCTCTCAGCCTCCCAGAATGCTAGGATTACAGTCACCTCACCCAGCCAATCTCATATTTGAAGTGAAAACTGATAATTCCAAAATGATGTGAAACTGGAGTCATAACTATATTTGCATTTGTCTTCACAATATTTCCTAGTTTTACAAGTTGTAGCCAAATGTTTGTCAAAATAGTAAATGATTATATAATTGCTTTGATCAAGTAGGAGTCTTCAGAAGTGCCTGTTTTTACATAAGATTTGTATTAAAGATAATACATTTCCCATAATAGCTGCCATGTATTGAGTTCTTCCCACATACTAGGTACTATACTAAGCTATAAATATATATAATAATCTTCATAATGTGTCCCCATATTACAGATCAGGAAATTGAGGCAGGAGAGAAGTAATTTGTCCAGCATCATAACTTAATTTGTGATGGAGGTTAGAATTTGGTTCCCATAGTTAACTCAAAGCTTTTGCTCTTAATTAATAACATTTCTGAAAATGCAGACCAAGTTTCAGTCATGCTAGGACTGTCATGTTTGATCAGTTCACAGCTCTCGCTTTATTAACTGTTATCAGAGAAACAATCATGAAATCATGTACCCTGCTTTACTCTGCCTTGGAGTTTCCCGATTTCCTTTACAGTTAGCTCTCCTGGTTCTCACTTTAGGAGCTTGATTGTTATCTATCCTGAAACATCCTAGAATCTGATGCTAGATTCACCCTACTCTAATCAAAATAGCCCTCAGAAAGACCTCAGAACCTCTTTCATAATTGTGCACTTTTTTTTTCATATTTAACTAACTGAAACTCCCCAAAAAATCAGAGCCTCCTTTATGGAGACCATATCCCTTATAGTAGATATTTCAATCCTCTGCTGTTCTTGCTCCATTCCAGATTAAGGAATGTTTTATTCCTTTTGAAATAGTCACAATAATAATGACAGTTAAAAATCATCAAGCCCACACTGGGAG